AATCTAATGTCATCGTTTTTTCGACTGAATCATTTCAAAACTCAAGTAATACTCATCTCGAATAATACTCTTCAGCCTTGGCCAAATCAATCATCTCGACTTACAAGCTGATTAACTCAAGAAAGAGCCCCATTGAGGTGATCCTCTACTATCACCTAGAGCCATATCTATCCATCAGCCATCATTGAACATTTAAATCATGGATTCAAAAGCTGAAAGGAACTCTTATGAATACACAGACACTCCTCCGCATTAAATATGCTCTGAAGAGGATTGAATTCTCACAGACGAATAAAAACTATCGCCGTAGGCCTTAATTATCTATGCACTCAGCAGGCGTTTAATATTTTAATATCCATAACAGATCAAATGGTTTTAATGAATACTTAACAACTTAACCAACACAACGTTCCATCTTTCAGCTATATGATGACATGTGAATATCCGTCGAAGAATATATCCTTCTACTCATCCTACTGAATCTTAGTTCCTTCCGTTTCATACCTTTTACCACTAGCAAACAGCAAATTCTTTTCAGAACAAAAATAGAGATCAATTCTCACACATTTTACCACTCATGCAAAATACTTACGCTCCATTAACTCCAAATTTAACATTCATCCAAATTCTCCATACTGAATCACAAATAATCTAATTGAGTTGTTTAGTTTGAAGGAGTATTTAAGTGAGTATTTGATCAACGATTATTCATTCATTTACTCAGACATAGCGTACGCACTTCTAATCCAAAAAAAAATTAAAAATTCTCGTCTCGACTCTCTTCCTCTCACTACTTTCGTTCCACTTTTCTCATCATCATTAAACTTATTGATGATTCGTCTTCACTGAATTTGGTGCGATGTACGCGCATAAGCTACTCCTCATTTGATTGCATTCAGTCTTCATTTGATAACTTTACTAGTTATTCGTTTTTTGGGCTCGTAAACTTGCTCCGCTATGAACTCGGCATCAAAATTTGCAAAACTGACCAGATCAGTTCAGTTCCACATATCAGTTAACTTCAAATCCAAAGTCAAATAGCGCTCATCATTTCGATGTGAACGTCATCAAAGCGATCTTAATTCCAATGTTAATAGTCTAATCTTATTGCTAATTTATAAAATAATTATTTCGATCACTCATCAATCCAGCCATATCCAACATATAAGATCATTTCCATATGGATATTGTTTCTTCAGTTGTGGCGTTGTTTCAGAAAAAGATTATGCAACGTATTCTGCTTACTCCTTATCGCATAATCCAACTACCTATTGAAATCATTTCCTTTGATCCACCTTCCATTTTTAGTGAAAAATTGTTTGTAGTAGCTCGAGTAGCTTTACTGGTTACTCGTTGTAAATGCTCGTAATCTCGAAATGAAATTTGCCGCTGAAATTGGCGAATTTCATTAAAACAATTGTACTTGATCAGCCAGCAGATAACTATCCAGTGAAGATGTCCTACAGTTTGCGGGGATTTTCGTTTGGGTGATTGATCATTTAGAAATTTTATAGTAGAATTTTGCTGGCGATTTCGGTGTAAAATTTTGTGGCTGGAGCAGTTTCCGAATAATCCGATTAGTGACCAGTGTAACATTCTCGCCTACATGTCTTTGGTTAACTAAATTTACTGAAAGAGACGGATTTTAGACAACAAATGCAAAACATTAAACTTATAAAATAGCGATCGTGTGGTCACTCGAATATGCGTTATGATAGCCAAAAATAGTTCGTGTCAAGTAAAGTGGCAGAAGTTTTGAGTGAAGCACTTAAATTTGAAGTGAAAAAAATAGATTTTTGATCAGCAAAAACGATCACATCTATCTGTGTGCCGTCGTTATAAGATTCAAAGTAAAACAGGAAACAACACCTCAAAAAAAAAAAATGATTGCACTCTTTAAGCTGTAGTTATGAAATGAGTGAGGATGCGAGAGTTGTCACAAGAAGAACCATCCTCCACCTCAATGAGTCGTCACTAAACGAAGTATCAAACATGCCATTATGAATCCAACATTATACAAGCAAGTATTACACTACCAGTAACATCATTTCGTCTGCTCTCTCAAGTTTATTGCTTTAAAATTTCCACTGTTTGCAGTTGCTTGCAATCTCGATATTTAACTCTCTGTTCAGTCATTTCGAATTTTTTAGATTTTAGATCGCGCGATCTATAAATTACCTCTTGAATGTTACCGTTTCTTGATGCTTTAGCACTAGCAATCCATCAAATAGCAGTACCTTTAATGATACAGTTACCCGATTTGATGGTCGCCAATTGCATGCCAAATATCAGTTATAAATCCAAGCAAGCAAACGATCAAGCAAAATGAATCGACCGACAAAACATCATGAGATATTTTGTTTTGGTTCTCATTCGCTTGACTCCCGCTGCTCATACACACTTATTCGCTTAGACCACTCCCAATACACGTTAACCGATAATCGCCTAGTTTTAACATTACTTTTATTCCGTTGCACTATTGTTTCTGCAGCATCACTTCAATGTGTTAATTCAGAAGTTATATTCATCATTCGCTTATACATTCAAAAACAGCTATATAACAGCCTCTTAATATCCTCATCATAATTTTAACATTAACATCAGTCGAATAACATCTGCTTTCGTTCAGTTCACTCTCGAATGATAGCCTTCTCATTGCTAGTTGTAATAATATATTATTGGAACGTTCAGAAGATGTCTCGTATTTCGTATTTCCCAATGTTGTCGATTCTTTCAAACGAACTGCTCATTATGATCAATTTTTCTCCATTTTCATCTATCGATCATGAACAATGAAACGAGTCATTAACTGTTAATAGTAGGTAATCTCAATTCGTAGTGAATGTCTCTGAAAAGCAGCTCTTGGATTAGATGTTAAAGAATGCTCCATTCGGACTTGTTTATCACTGCTCCGTTCTCAAGCGCATTTTATCCTCAATCTTCAAAGTCAGCTGAATGCCAAGAGCAGCTAAGAGACTGTGTGAAGCATGCTGCTGTCTAGGGGTTCGAACGATTACTCCAAATAAGTTGTTCTTATTGCACTTCAGTCCATCATATAATGTGCGCATGATCATGTGAACCTGTGGGTATTCTTAAAAATAATTGCCGTGTTCTAACAAACAAATTCAAGCCGTTCAAAGCATCAGTTTCAATCCAGTTGAGGATTTTCTGGTTACAATTCACAATATCCATTCGTTTTTGTCAATCGGGCTGCAAACAATACCGCTGCTAACTGACGGAGGAAGTTGGAAATATTTCATCGAAAAAAATTTAGCAATATGCTTGTTGAAAGGAAAATGGTGAATTTTTTCCATTTCAGACTAATCTTAATAATCACCATTCGTGTACAATGAAGTTGAAATCGATGGGAATAAAATGTTGAGAGTTCTGGAAGTGTATAATTGTACGTAATATAAACATTGTTCCGATGAAAAACATTGTGCAAACACGAGTATATTTTGTTTCCTCGTAGTTGCATTCTCATAAAACATCTGTATGTATTTCAAGATCAATACAAATGAAATGTCGTTAGCTGATCGTTGAGGAATATCTCTGAGAATTGCATTTAGCATAAGCGATAATTTTGCGTTTATGATGAGCAGGTGTTGTTTATAGTGTTCAAAAATAATCTAGAAATCCCCATCGAGAATTGATATATTCATCACATTCTCTGATACATTTTATTGTGAAAATTTATGGGTTGGAACGAGATGATTCCATTTCGAAAATTTATTAACGGATACGAAAAATGAAGAAGAAAAAGATGAATGATACGGTGGTAATCACAATAACATTAAGGCAATTCCCATTCTTGACTTGAATGCGAATTCACTTATGCGCTCCTATCAAATGATCCTCACAGATCAATCAAACACACCGAATAATGACAGCAATAATAGCAGCACAACAACAAGCAAAAACCAACCATATCAATAAAGTTTTATGCATGCATGAATGCATGTGTCAGCCCCTTCATCAGTTCCATGCTCAGTTCGTGAGTGTAATGGGCTTACGAGGATACGATAGGTTGCTGTTGCTGCTGTTGCCGCTAAAAGTTGCTTGCAGAGTTGATTTAATTAATGCCCTTCATATAACAATTGAAAAACGACAAAATCAACTTTTCCAGCGACTTAAATTCTGTGAAGCAATTTGAATTCATAAATGCTGGAACGCTAAGTTCCGCTCACCTAAACTCGTCTCTGTTATGTTTGAATTCAATCATATTCTATTCATTCATTTATGTCTTACTCGTTCGTGCATGCATACATTCGTGCGCATGCTGTGAGCGTTTGTTTTTGTACTCCATAGCATTTATGAGAAGTTTATCGTATTCCTCAAAGTATCCACAGCTTATGATTTAACTGCAGATTTATAACTGATTTATAACGATTTATAAATGTTTTATAACTGCAGAATAATATGTTTAAATCGTCTTTGATATTGCTTTATCAATCCAGATTCATCAAAACTTTCCTTGCGAACATTGCTGACTCGAAGTCTTGTTGAAATGATTATGTAGATTTTGCACTGAATGTGATGCTAAATTTATGCAGCTTCAAGTAAACTTTATCATTTGAAAGAGGAATTTCGATGTTTTATCGCACCTCGAAACGAATATTTTTCATTTCAAGTCGATAGACTAATCAGAGGCTTATCTTTCGTTCTGGTCCCGTTTGAATCTAAAACGGATATCACTGTTCAGTGCTGTCGTTTCTGAGAGTGGAATGATGTGCTCGATTTTTCTTCGCAACGATACTGTTATTTTCGTAACAATATTTTTACAGTTCGATTGAAATTGGTTGATGCTGATACGAGTGATAATTGTTGATAAGAAGATTCATCATGGTGGTATGATGAATTGCATTTGATGTAATCATATAAGAGTTATTGCATGGTTTGACAATGCGATGCGTTTGAATCTGCTCTGTTTACGTCGTCGACAGCCACAACCACCATCTTCGTTCACCATCACCATATTACTCAACTTAATGCTAATCTCGTCGTCGTCATTTTGGTCAGTCGAATCGAGTTTCGTTCATAAAATTGGCCTCAAACCATATGGACACTCAACTGATGCATCCAAAAGAATTGACGATACAAACGATCAACGTACCGAATTTGTACGTACCTCATGGAGTGAAGCGTCATACACTAAACTGAGAACATTCAGTAAGTGAACTAGGAACATTCNGATGCTCTAAGTCAACTGCTACGTATACGATGAGATCATTTGAAGCTGTTGTGTCCATTTATAACTGTGCCTTGAGCATTACTCCGTTCACTCTAATTCGTTGTTATTTTGTCTAACGGAAACTGGACATTTTGAGTTTGGTGTTCGAAGAGCTTTTGGCAAAATAATGCTTGCTAACTAAGTTACTGCTGCCACTTCGGTTAGTTGATTTACTCACAAGCACTGAAAGTACGTCGTCTGCTTATTTGTTGCTTGCTTTTCATTTCGAGGATGCTTCGTTTCATTTCATAGAAAATGTCATAAAGGAGCGATTCATTTCCAGCTGACCGCTTCCATCAAATTCAATTAAATGAAAACGCAATTCTCAGCTAATTCCATAAACCTATTGATTAGCTAAGGACAAATAGTTGCATTGTTGCTGCATTTCAGATAGAAACGTCGTATGGCGTTTGAGTATTTGTTCAGTGATGCGTAGGCATTTGACGGCTCATACTTAAGCTTCATTCTTCCAAGTTCATCGTGCATCTGATGTGTCGTAGACGTTCGCGTTTCACCCTCATCCGCATTATTATCAGTGATCGTATATATTCATATCGGACAGTGAGAGCATGCAAATGAACATTCTCATCGTCGCTTCAATTGAGTAACTCTCCGTGGTTCTTCTCCTATCAAAATGCATTTGTGAATTCATTTATCAGCTGTCAACATATTTCAATGCATAATTATTCGATCATACGTTAGCGTCGACGCCAAAAGAATTACGACAGTTGAGTGGAATGAAAAGAAATTGATGCGTACTAGATGCAAATTTGATGCGCTGATGAACAAAGGAAAAACATTTATTGTTAATTCTGATGAAGAAAGAATCATAAATAGCAAGCATTGAATGCGAAGAAACCATCGGGCGAGATATTGATAATGCCTAGGAATTATGAATACCACTCTATGAAGTATTACATAGTGTCTTACTCTTCAGATCAGTTGTCACCAATTTCCTGTTTGAATGTCATCGAATTGTTGAGTGATCGAAATTAGATCTGTGGACTTTTTGCCGTTAACAACTTATAGATCAAATTTTGCAGCTGCAATAGTAAAAACTGATTTGATGTTAGCATTACGGAGTCCTGTACCAAGCAGTCATATGTTTTACATTCCTTTAGTACATGTAGACTAATAATATTTCAATTTTCGGCTTAGAACCGTTATTGTGATAATGTTTGCTGCCAACCACCCACTATACGGCAAAAATTCCAAGCAACTTGCCGGTGGAACTGAAAACATCAAAAGAAACCGTCAAAGCTGCAATGGAAGATTTTTTGCCAGACTGCGCTTTGGGCGGAAACTTCGTAAGCTATTACGGTTGTATGAGCATAAACTTAAAATGGCAACTCTTTTAGCCGTCAGTCAGTGAGCATGCAATAGATCGCATGAACAAAACTTGAGCAAAAAAGGCATAATGTGCAAATGATGCACCATTTACATCATTCGAATCAATAGAAATGTGCCCAGATCAAGCAGTTCTGCGAATGAATCCCCATGTGGGTCATTTCGAGACTGAGTTGTTAGAGACACTCGTCTGTCGATTAGCCACTTTAACGATGCAAACTTATGGCTATTTTAAGCCCTAATCGTCCTATGCACATATCGCCTCATCCAACATCATCGAATTCAATGCAAGCATATAGTCGCACTAATTTGAACAATCTAAACTTTAGTTCAAGTTCAACTGTTTCGAATGTCATTTGGGGCTACTGAAGTGAGAAATTCATTAGGGGTTAAGAAATACTCCAATGCATAACATAGCACAGTTCGTTAACATTTCTCAATATATGTATATATTTCTCAAAGGGAATCGAGGCACGAATAAAGAATCAAATATTTCACTAATAATTCTGATCATTTGTTCCTCATGTCCACATTATTATCGATTCTATCTTCGAAAAAAATTTGATCTTTTAACACAACATCATATTATTCAAATGTATCTGGTTTTTACCATTGGAAGACTGAAAAATCATTTCCGATCTTTATCACGCCAGAGATTGATTTTCGATGCATGAATTCCTCAAAATGCTCACATCTCTATCAAAATGCTATCATTCAAAGTGCTGATATATTTTGAATTGATCACCGTTTACATCGGTTGGTGGGCACGATTGAGTCAGCGTGTTTACTTATTGCTTGTTCGCTTTCGATATAATCGAATTCGTGCAATCGTTTAATTCAATTCGACCGCAAACTTATTTCGTTAAACGCAAACCGCAGTCAGTCCCATATGAAGTACACATGGAACGCATGATTTTCAATTATCAATTTGCATAATGCACGAATATGTTTAACCGCTCAAAAGTCATCATTATAATCGAAAAACGCGATAAAAATTAAGCAAATTCATGAGCAATCAATAACATGACAACAAAATTCCGAACGAGGAACTGAATCTGAATGTGAGTTTAATCTGTTGACTTTTTTTGGAGCTAAGCTAGATCCGGTAATCTGCTTTAAATAGAGATCGACCGCCGACTTGGAACGCTGTTGGGTGTCTGTCGAAAACAGCTTGTTCAGGGAACACTTTTTTCAATTGCGCATTTATCTCGCAGAAAATCTTATGAATTGGTAAATTTGTATTCAGTGGCGATTTTTTCTATTGATAAACTAGTTTTCTCATTGAAATTCCTGTGATTACCATCCGCTTGCAATTCTTCTGAAGACTGCAATGACTTGAACGATTAGCAGCCGAATTTGAGTATTTCAGTCATCAATGAAGTGAATCATAGCCTCATTTTGTTTTGGTCTATCGTACCAACTTATGAATGGCTGTGAATTCGAAGACAAAAATGGAAAGCCGCACGATATTTTTTATCAGTGGTATTCATCCGCGGTAATATGAAACGAATTCAACTGATAGCTCTCATTCTCTGAAAAAAAAAAGTATTATTGTTCAACTAACAATGGCAACAATTAATAATAGATAAGATTGATTGCAAGTGCACGATTATAGCTTAGAGATCATAGCAACCTATTTTAAAATGCTTTAGTAAATCTAGCAAAAATTAGACTAAATCCTTAGTAAACCAAATGAAGCATTAAGCAACGAGTCAATTTACTCTCCATATGCGATAAGCCTTTGATATTTTCTGATGCCCATTGAAATGATCGTATGAATGCCAAACGGGATGTTCTAAGAATTTATGCTTAGAACGTATTGTTTGGCGATCAATTTTGTGATCAGCAAAATGCATTTTCTATAGCAACATCGTGATTTTTTTAACAAAACTATTAGGACGACGTCATAAGAAGCTATTTCATCAGTTACTTCGACTGCTATCGAAGGGGGATATGCTTCATAAACGCTTCATCAAAAGCCAAA